ATAGCTGTTATCAGCAGGTGTCCCCTCCCGAGGGAGGAGTGATTGTGATCACTCACAGAGAGAGATAAGGCAAACTGCCCACTTGACAAAAGACAACTGCTATACAGATGGTGATAGAACAGATCTTACCTTGCAATCTGGAACAGTCAGATTGGAAAACAAACCTGGCCATCAGCAGGCAGCACTGTGTTCCCTCGAGTCCCCCAGAACAGACCCTGCCTTTAGAATAAGGAATGTGACAAGGGCCAGCTCTGGGTGCCTCTTGTGGCACTAAAATCTGCTTTTCTGTCCCTCTGGATGCTGCCCAGCTGGAAAGGGATGAACCAGAGCACAGTTATCTGTAGTCATGGCTCTTTCCCTGGGCTGCAGTGGCTGGGGCTGGCCAGAGCTCAAATCTGAGCACCTGTTGGTTTGACTACCAAACTCCCCAAAACCTCATTTCCTTTTCAAACCAGGACACTCCTGTAGTAGCTGTGGGTGTATGGAGGGGTCCCCCAGGAGCTGGGCTCTGGGATGAGCTCTGACCCAGCAGAAACAGGAGTGATCAGCTCTCCTACAAGGGAAGAAAAGAAAGCCCCTCATGGAAGCAGCCTCCTAGCCCAGTTTTTGCAAGAATAAACCATTTTAATTGAGCTCTCACCAACATGAGATAACAAAAATCATAGATTAGGCTACAGATTGTTGTTATGATATTAAAATTAACTTGCATCCTCTCAGCTTCTCTCCTTGGGGAAGCAGTATAATTAAATTAATCAGCAAGGCTGTTTTGCAGCTGCAAGGGAAATGCCTCAAAATGACCCTGATCTCTTCCCATCCAGCCTCTGGCATGTCCTGAGGCTCTTGCCTTCTCCAGCATCTGCAACACTCCCCTCACTAGAAACCAAATGGGAATCAAGGTGGTTCATCCCCAGATGCTTTTATATTCATTAGCCACATCTTAAGTACTGTAAATACACACTTGAGAAGTCAATATATATTTTTATAAGCTTGAGACAAATGTAATATAATATTATAAAGGACTCTGTGTGCATCTCATGTTTGAGCTATAGTCAGACATCTCCAGGGAATCTCAGTTGGTTTGGAATATTTATTAATAATGATAATAATAATGATAATAATAGTTATTATAAATGCTAATAAAAATCTATTGACATTTTTTAATATTTTGTATTTATTGAACCACGGTTGAAGCTGGCAATAAAGAGATATCTAAATATCAATAATCCTGCCCTGGTTTGTCTGTGTGGGTCATTTCAATGTTCTGGGGGGAAATGCCACTTTATCAAAGGTGCCATGTGGTGAGTAAGGGACAGTTTTAGTAGCACCAAGGTGTGAAGTGATGCCTTGTTTTGTTAAATGACATCTGTGCTAAGGTGGGTGACACCTGTAGAGGGACTGGAGGGGTGGTTTCTTGCTAGTGGCACTTTATGGGGAGGAAAAAGCACCTGCTTTGCTTTTCTGGGGCATGTTGTGTGTCAGAAAGGTGCATGGGCTGGCCTGTGGGCCAGGTGCTGTTCAGAGAGGTGGGAATCCCTCCCACCACCCCTCAGCATTCATTGCATGGTGAAAGTGAAACCCAGCACTCAGCTGGAACCACCAGCAGGTTTGGGTTTTGGGGAGAGCAAGGGAGGAACCAGGGCTGCTCCTCCTGCCCCTCACTACAGCCCAGACATGAAATCATTACCTTTCCCCTTCCTCAGACATGAAATCCATCCCCTTCCCCCTTCCTCAGACATGAAATCCATCCCCTTCCCCCTTCCTCAGACATAAAATCATCACCTTCCCCCTTCCTCAGACATTAAATCATCACCTTCCCCCCCGCCCCTGTGTTCTCTCAGTGCAGAGAGGCTGCCAGACCCGGGTGCAGGGCTCATGTGAGCCTGGCCTTGCTGCCACCTGTCCTGGGCAGTGCCCTGGGAAGGTTAAAAGGAACCAGGCTCTGGAGGAAGAGCAAGGTTTGAATGTGAATAATGGCTGATTATCAGGAAGAGCAGGTGCCATTTGTCATGCTAATCAGCGATCTGTCAGCTCAAGCAGCTCCTTTCCCCCTGCTGTTCCATGTGTGCCTGGAGAGCCCTGCCTGGGCTGGGACACGGCCAGACCCCTCAGCTCCTCCTGTCACACCAAGGACGGGTCCCCAGTGCCACCCTGGGCTGTCCCAGTGCCACCCTTGGCTGTCCCCATTGCCCTGCACCCCCCTCCTCAACCAGGATTAGGTGGGTGCCCCTGCACTGGCTGGCCAAGGGGTGCCCATGATGAGACAGATGTGAGGATTTTTGGCCCAGCTGAGGCACAGCTGGATGACCCTGAAGTAGGGCTGGGTGACACTAGGACAGGGCAGGGTGACACTGGCACAAAGCTGGGTGACACTGGCAGAGGGCAGGGTGACACTGGCAGAGGGCAAGGTGACACTGGCAGAGGGCAGGGTGACATTGAACAGAATTGGATGACATTGGCACAGGGCTGGGTGACATTGGACAGGATTGGGTGACATTGGCACAGGGCTGGGTGACACTGGGACAGGGCAGGATGACAGTGGCACAGGGCAGGGTGACACTGGCAGAGGGCAGGGTGACATTGTCACAGGGCTGGGTGACATTGGCACCAGGCTGGGTGACACTGGAGCAGGGCTTGGTGACATTGAACAGGGTTGGGTGCCACTGGCACAGGGCAGGATGACACTGGTACAGGGCTGGGTGACACTGGCAGAGTTGGGTGACCCTGGAGCAGAGCTGGGTGACACTGGAGCAGTGCAGGGTGACATTGGCACAGGTCAGGGTGACACTGGCACTGGGCAGGGTGACACTTGTGCCTTGCCACTCAGAGCAGGGCCATGTGCACAGCAGCAAGAGCAGCCTGGCAGGCACAGCAGCCATTGAGTGACACAATTATAAACAACTCCAGCCTTTCTATCTTCTTGGGGCTGCCAGGCACCTGGAGCAGCACACAAAGAGCAGCTGTTATCGCTCAGCACAGCAGCTCCTCCTGGGCAGCTGCCACCCCTGAAGGGGCACAGACAAAAGCAGAGGAGCTGTGCTGTGCCAGCAGGTCCAGGTGTGTCCCAGAGCCACTGGCACAGCATGGCCATGGAAGCCCATGGAAGCTGGAGCTTCCTTTTTTCTGCCACCTCCAGAGCCCCAGCAGCAGGAGCAAAGGGGAAGGAGGACAGACACGAGGTTGTTCAGATGTTTCTGGAGTTTCTGTAACAATAAAAAGCACTTACAAGGTGTTCTCCCCTTGCACCTGCTCCCTCACACTGTTTGTTAAGGGTGATGTCTGGCTTAGAGGATGTCAGTAATTAAAAAGTCATTTAATGAGCTCTGGTTTATTGGCAGAGCAGACTTTCAGGAGTTGTTGTGCCAGGAGGAGCATTGCAGTGCTCACAGAACTCTCTGAAAAGCAGCCACTGTTGGTGGTGCTGCACAGCTCTCAGGGTGGCACTGGTGCCAAGCCAGGGTCATCCCCTGCCTGCTCTGCTGCTGGGCACCTCCTTGTGTATTGTGGCAAATCCCTGCTGTCTTGGCATCTCAGTTGCTCACAGTGACCCCAAGATACATTAAAAAGTCTCTTTTCCCAGCCCAGCAGTCAAAGAAGGAGTCAGAACTCTTCTTGTTCTCAAGGTTGTTTATTATTTCTTATCTATAAAATTTTTTCTCCTGTCCAGCCGCGATCCTCTCAGCAGGACAGAGGCGCACTGGTGTTATCTTTTTGTGCTAAAAACTATGTGTACAGTATTTACAATAACTTCCCTACAATAATAACTACAATACCTATCACCTGTGTTACACAGTGAGCTTCTACTCTAAACCAATCCAAAAGTGCCACCATCACAGCAGAAGATGGAGGCCAAGAAGAAGAAGAAGAAGAAGAAGAAGAAGAAAGACAGCACCCACTCAGATTCCTCCATCTTTCCCCCCTGAACCCCCATTGTAAAAACCCCAAAATCTATTTTTCACTCTGTGATAAATTCACTGTCATTCTACTTAAACTGTTGTGGCTTGCAGATCCTCATATGAGGTTGGTAATTTGCTCCATGGGTCATAATCAAACCAACAGGGGCATTTTGGGCTCTGTGCCAGGGTCTCTGAGCCCCCTGGCAGGGTCCTGGCAGTCCAGGACAGACAGAGGGATGTCCTGAATTCCAACCCCCTGGCACCTGCAGCATGTGGGGAGCTGCCCTTGCTGTCCCTGCGTGGTGGGAGCCCAGCTCACTGCTGGGTGTGAGCCCTGAACATTTCCTTTGACTCCCACAGGATTGAAATTCCATAATGGGGCTGAAATAAAGCAGCAGCATCACATCTCTGTGGGAGCCCTCAATCATCTGCTCCAGAGGCACCCTGGGGAAGCGTTTGGAAGAGAATTTAGAACTGGGCAATTCAGGTTTTTCTTGCAAATCCCTCCTGTGTAATGAAGCCTGTTCCTGGTGGCTTGTTCCCAGGGGAATATTGTGGCTCTGTTTGCTGGAAGTTTAATGCAGCCCAGGTGTGATGGGGCAGTGATGCCTCAGGTTTTAGCTTTTATATTTTTCATATTCTGTGCTGCTTTAGTGTGTGGGTCTGGGCTTCATATTAACGGATGGTGAGCTCTGCACAGAGTAGGG